ATTATCACTACACATAACTTAAAAAGGATATTTCTATAAATACTCATTTGGCCTGCCAATAAACTACAAACTGAATTAAAAGAATAAGTTGATAAGTAATACATTAATTCCAATACTTCCCATGAGAATACGTGGTCACAGTAGGACTAGTACTTAAAACTTCATAGGACTGGGGCACCTGGGTGGCTCAGTGGGTTAAGCCTCTGCCTTTGGCTCAGGTCATGATCTCAGGGTCCTGGAATCGAGCCCCGCATCGGGCTCTTTGCTCGGCGAGGAGCCTGCTTTCCCCTCTCTCTCTGCCTGCCTCTCTGCCTACTTGTGATCTCTCTTTCTCTCTCACTGTAAAATAAATAAATTAAATCTTTAAAAAAAAAAAAAAACTTCATAGGCCCAACTGCTTGTAATTGTACCTCAGTTTAAACTTTTACCTAATGAAAGACAAATACATACATTACTATAAGATAATCCATTAAAAGATCTGCAAGTTATTTAACTGATATTTTTGTGGTGTTACTGAAGAAATCATTAGACAGTTGCACCTTAATATCCTATAACAGATTCTAGAAAATATTATAAAAATACCATTTACATAAATCTGATAGGAAAAAACAGAACTAGAGAAGAAACTGAATTAAAGAAAAGTATAATTTTTATAAATGAAAAATCCTTTCAATTTTTTTTTGGTTGCTTGGGTGCTAGGTTGGTACCACTGTGATATGAGTGCTGCATCACCATTCAATAAACCTGTGGATCTTGTTTCGATGACAACGGAGAAAGTCTTGTCTGTGCTTTAAAAACATTCAAGTTGCTTCTCTCTTAGGGAATCCACATCTGATCTCCCAGCTCCACCATTCTGAAATATCACATGTCACCAGAAGAATCCAGGATAGACTGCCTAAGACCTCGCAACAAGGCAGAGGAAGGAGAGAAAATAGTATGTAATAAAATAGCTCTCCTGGTAATGGGAAAACTAAACTGACATCAGAATTGGGACAAAGCTATGCTGACATCACAAGTTTGGCTCAATACCTGGTGCTCTCTTAACTTATTTCGGCAATCCACACAACCTGACATCCCTTGTGAGGTGTACCAAAACCCAAATGTTTTTCCATATGCTCCTTTTTCTTATGACACCAAGCCACCTTTTCATTTATGTTGATAACATACTGCAAAAAAGTCCCAGGGAAGGGATGCCTGGAAATATGTCCTAAATACATCTCTAAAATATCCCACTGGGGCCCCTGGGTGGCTCAGTGGGTTAAAGCCTCTGCCTTCGGCTCAGGTAGTGATCCCAGAGTCCTGGGATGGAGCCCCACATCGGGCTCTCTGCTCAGCAGGAAGCCTGCTTCCCCCTCTCTCTCTGCCTGCCTCTCTGCCTACCTGTGATCTCTGCCTGTCAAATAAATAAATAAATAAATTCTTTAAAAATAAAATAAAATAAAATATCCCAAGAATTCACAGTCTCAACTTTGAATAACATAATTCTGTACCTAAATAAATAATTTTCTATGAAAAGATAAGAAATTTTTAAAAGCCTGTAAAACCCTGAGTGGGTCAAATATTTATTTAACTATTACTTTTTTTCCTTTGGTGTAACAAAATTAATTTATAATAAGAGTCACCCATTTTTTTTATGTAGCCTAAGAATTCTTTTGGTTCATTTTAAGCCACGTCTTTCACAATTAGAATTTTCTGGTTCAGTTGGAAATACTTTTTAGAAGCCTGAACATATAGCTCAACTAATGATTCTGAAATGTGTGCATGTGGGAAGAATTTTGTTGCTTACAAGAGCCTTTAATAATTCATACATTTAAATCATCATTTCCAAAGCAAATTTTCCAAAATCAGATAAATTGCAAAACTACAAGTAAACTAAGTCTCCAAAAAGGAGTTCCAAACCTCTGCCAAAACAGACCTCAAATTCTTAATCCCTTGTCCAAAAAAATTGGACCAAGTATTGACGTTTTCCACCAAGCAAGCCACATAGCCACAAATGTTTCTCATTTACTCCACTCCTGGGACATACAGCTCAAATAAAAAATTTCCTGAATACCCCAAATTTCAGATACAATTTGGAATGTAAATGATTCATAATGTTATGCAGGAAACATTATGATCTTCTCCTACCAACTCAATGTTTCTGGAATGTAACCCACAGGAGATTATCCCAACGAATCAGAAGGCTGACATCACCGTCAGCCTTGTGACCCAACTATTATGTCCTCTGCCCCTAGCTCAGATGTGATTTTGAACTCTGAACGCTCTGCTACTCCAGCTACCGTTCAAGTAAAACAGACATTCCACCAAGGGAGCTAACGAAGATCCACACTGAGCTCTGTGGCGAGTAACATGGTTACAGTGCACTCAACCCCCCTCGAAGGAAAGGCCAAAACAACATTAAAAGGAATTAAAGGCACTGTCATCACTTGTGCACCAAAAGACTCCCCCAGTGGCCTCTGAACAGATTCTAATTAAATTCGAGGGTGAAACTTCACAGAGCCTCTAGTTAGTTTATGAATCCTATTCCAATCCCACCCTGCTTCACCTCCTCTAAATCAAATAACTTCTGGGAATATCAAAGTTGCAACAGTCATCCCTTTGCAGATTCTTCCTCTCTTCCAAGGAAAGAAGCACAGCGGAAGAAGAACACTGGACTGAAGGCCCAAATGAACATGAAAATTGTGTGAGTCTTAGCAACTGTGGTTACTCAAAAAGAGAGACATGTGGGTGGTCCCATATCATGAAATAAATAAACAGGGCATGGAGTCATGAATGTGGTTAAGAGAAGATGGAGATAAATACCTACTGACCTAGTATTCCACTATCTAAAGGGATCATGACAAGCAAAATGTACACTGAAAGGTAACTCTCCAACAAGCCTTATCTGAGAGAGCCTGACACAAAATGCAAAGCTGAGCGGGCAACACCTTAGAACTCTGGGCAACTGGAGAGAGTTACCGATGCTACAGAAGTAACAGCCAGTAGGAAGACATGTCTCAAACAAAAGGCATCTGAGCAAAGGTTAAAATTATTATTTAAGCATAAGGAGAAAAAGAATCTAGTTTAAATAGAATAACAGTCTCTAAAACAGTAATAAAGAAAGAACACAAAACAATGGGTTTGCCTAAAGTAAATTTCATGGGTCTGTAGGCTTTCTGATAGCGATAACATTCACAAGGAAATACTAAAACTGAGTCTATAAACTAAAATTATGAGTTAACTGGAGATACTGTGAGAGGACTGCATCAGGAGACCACAAAAAATATATATAAAATAATTGAAAAAAAAGTTAATGTTCACACATTTTAAAAAATCAATTAAAATCTGTGGTTGGATCAATGTATGTCATGGGTCATCTAAAAAATGGCTTGAATATCTCTAACTGCCGAAAGATCCTGTTTTCCAGCCGATCCGAGCCTGTTGGTAAGAGGCATCTCTCATTTATCCAGACCAAAAAAGACAGTAATCACATTGGTCATCCAATACTTATTTATATTGAGAAAATGTGGTTAGCTAGTAACATCAGAAAATGGAATATTCTAGATGACCATCTTTTCTGGTTACTTTAAAACCTAATTCTGCATATTTTCCCTCTTGTGACTGTTGGTTTTACACTGAGTGAAATCAGCATAACCTTCAGCAAATATTAAACCTAGAGTTTATGTAAATGGCACGATGTTTACGAAGCTTCTAGAATAGTACACATGGTAAATACTTGAGGAAATACATTATTCTTTTCCTTCTCTCTTACTTCTACCAACCATAGTTTTGCTTCTTCTTTTGCAGTTTAGGATCCAAAAGCTGTTTTCACATGTGATCAGCCAATTTCCCCCCAAAATGCAATGTTTCTTTTTCTGCTAATCATCTGATCAAAGAGTTTTAATTAGAGGACCCCTCTAAAAATGTACTGCCTTAATTTTTTCTCTTCCTGGTTTAATTTCTACTGAGGAATCACCTAAGTTCAAATATAGTTTCTATCAGAACCCAATGTTATATGAAGCACTATACTAGAATACAGGGATACAGAATTCAATAAAATATGGTTCCTACTTAGGATGGTTAATTTTACATGTTAACTCGACTGGGCAACAGGATCCCGAGATAGTTGTTCAAGCATCATTCTGAGTGTTTCTGTGATGGTGTTTTGGCATGAAATTAACATTTAAGTAGATGGACTTGAGTAAAGCAAATTGCCCTGTACAGTGGGGGTGAGCCTCAGCCAATCAGTTGAAACCACCCCCCTACCTCCCACACCCCCTGCAAATTAGAGAATTCTCCTGCTTGATGACCTTCACACTGGAATACCTGCTCTTCCAACCCAACAGCATGTGAAGTGGAACACTGGTTCTTCCTTGTTCTACAGCAGCCCGTGGATTCTAGATTCAAAGTGGGACATTAGCTCTGCAGAGTTTGGATTTGGCCAGCCTCCTCTGTAACCACATAAGCCAATTCCTTAGAATAAATCTCTCTATAGATAGATAGATAGATAGATAGATAGAAAGATATAGATATAGATAGATAGATATAGATATCCTACTGGTTCTATTTCTTTGCAAAACCCTGACTAATACACTATCTTCAAAAAGCTCAAAATCCATTCATGAGGATATACCCACGTAAACTTTCTCCACAAAGCCTTTCCCAAAAATAACACAGAATATTGCACTATGAGCCAAATAAACCATCAAATAAAGAAACTATCAATAAATGTTCACTGAATGAATTAAAAGAACTTGAAAATGAGATCTGCTAAGGACAATATCAGACCATATAATTCATTCCCTCAAGAATTCTCATAAAGAGAGTGATCTGGTGTCAATTTACAACTAGACTTGCCCCTTTCCTGCATAAGCTGAATGGATGGGATTTCTCTGCTTTATGAGTTAGTTACTGTTATTTGAAGCAGGTCATTGGGAATAAATTTAAAACAGGGAATGCAGTTATAAATTAGTTCATTCCCCTCACAGTGCAGAGTACAAATAAGAAGCAAATAAGCTCACTTGAATGGCAGCCAAGTTCTTCTGTTCCTGAGATGGTGCCTCATGAACAAAGCGAAGCCAGTTGGAGTGTCGTGGGTTGGTGGCATCCAAAATGTATAGAACTTCTCCCTTACTCCCACGAACCTGAAACATAAAAAGCTCCTGAGTTTGTACCTGAAGTCAGTATTGGTCATACTAAACATATCAAGGGGAGGATATGATATTTTTTCATAAGCATATGCCTTTGTTATTGACAGGTGTTGAATAGATGCTGGATTAACATCCAGTCTTCCCCTTAAACATGTGTACAAATAGAGTCTCCTATTTTATTTGGCAGATGTCTAGATGACTCACAATTGCAAGCAACTCTCAGAAACATCCTGTGTTGATAGCTCTTTTCTGGTTAAAATTATTTGTTTGTAGGTATATTTTAATATACGTGTTGCAACTGCAATCACTCAGGGGATAACGATAATTGCAACCTGTCCCCTTTTTTCCACAGAAGAGGCTGGTTCCCGGTTGAGGGGATGGAGCTGGAGCAATCCTTTCAATTTCTCTCTCCACCTGTTTACCGAATCATTTCCATATGATGAGAACTTGCTAATGAAACCAGTGGAAGCAGACTCCACTGAGCCACATTTTCACATTTTTAACTAGCTGATGAATAAAACAGGTTCCATTTTGTTTCTTCATGGCCTGCTCATGGCTTGCTGAAGACAGTGGGCCCACTGTCTTTTGTTTCATGCCATAAACCCTCCTGGTCAGACCCATTCAAGATTCAGTGGGAGAGAGGGAGTAAACTGAAAGGAGTGGATAGTCCAATGGACATTCTTGAATTCAAGTTGCTTCAAATGGAGCTTCTCCAAAGCTTCTGTACTGTAGGTTGTCAGGCACTGCTCAGTTCAGTAATGCATATGTCAATCTCCATCCAACTCACTCTGTGTTTATATTCAACTGGAATCCAGGGGAGGGGGAAAGAAGGAATGAGTGATCAGCATTTCAGATCTCTAACACCAAGTAACGCAAATATAAGAACAAGAATTCATCTCTGCAGACTTGGGGTGGGGATAAACAAATTCTACATTTCCAAAATCTTATTTGATAAAATAAAGCACAACCAGCCTACTAAGGTATATATTTTCATGACACATTTGGCCAATCATGCAGTCACTGGACATAATTTACTGATTCCTACCACAGGCCAGCTTCAGGCACTGGGAATCTTTCAGTAAACAAGACAGTTGAAGCTTAACATCGCAGCACTTAAGAACAAACAAGCATAGAATATAACTTAGGTAAAGAGAAGAGTTGTGAAGCAGAGAGAGAGGAAGCAGAGTGAGGAGCGCCGGCGAGCTCAGAGGAGACGGAGAAGAGTTCTAATGAAGGCAGGCTCCGCCAACAGCCAGGGCAGAGCTGGAGAGAGTGCTCCCAGACAGACGGAATAGCACAGAAAAGGCAAATAGAAAGGCTCTGTGAGTGGAACAGAATGAGCCACGGAGAACACGAGGGGCATTGAGATCAGAAAGATTGCACAGGCCCAGTCACACACTGATGTACAGACTAGGAAGCCATCTACAGAGACCACATTATCCCCCAAAAACTTAGACACTGAAAAATCTGCTGCACATTACAAAAACTTGTGTATCAGGATTTTAGCATATATTGTCCAGAAAAAAGAGTTTGCCTGTTCCTACTACCTTATACATTCACTGCCATGTTTCTCAAACAATTCCTGTTTTTTTCTATGCCAAACGATCCTCAATAATCATTTAAAGATCTTGCTAATGAGATGCCAGACCTCACTAAGAAGGAGGAATTTAATTTTTGTTATTATAATTGCTAAAAGAAGAACTTAGGACTATACACACCTACTATTTATCTCTCGCATGTTTAGGTGAAGCTATGGAAATTTGTAATTTCTCATGAAAACAACTCACACTGAGGTCTCCTTTGGGAGGCAAGTGAAAATTGTACTGTTCCTGCTTACCCCTTGAGGTGGAACCCTCACTGCCCACAGGCTCACTGCCCACTGATAGATCGAAAGGACCTTCTGTACCTCTCCTCAAAGAGGACATCAGCTCAACTTTCTTTAAGCAGAGTAAATAAATTATTTTAAATATTTGGGTATAAAGTTTCCTTTCCTGGTTCCTCCACAGCGACAATAACAAAATTGTTTATACTGACAAACAGCTAAATTAAGCAGAAGGAATGGCAAAGCCATTAAATACTTGAAAGAAAAAATCTCAGAACCAACTGTTAGGCAGAAGCTAGACTCTAGCAGTAGAAGCACTACCCCAAGGCAGAGTCCCAAATCCCTAAAGAGGAATTATAGAGACAGGAGCTGGGGTGGTAAATAAACTACACATTAAAAGCCTGGGAATACAAACATCCTGACCTTGTGGCTTCCAAGACCTTGGGGCGGACAGATCAAGAGCCAAAGTGCAGAGCATGCCCTCTCTTCTTCCACCTCTGCCCCAGGGTAACCCCTAGACTCATCCTAACTCACTTGCACTATGGGTACAACCTACCCTCCCCCCCCAGGAGGAGGCTGCCAAGAAGGTTCTGGCACAAACCTCACAGGGTCAAACTCTCCCTCCCAACCTGTGGGAGGAGTTTCCCAAATGACTGGAAGCAGCCTTTAATCATTAGAGACCAGCCCACTATAAACCAGAGCTCCTCCCCACCCAGACAGACCCAATAATATCTAATCCCAAAACAACCCAGGGCGGGATTTCATCTCCCAGCATATGTCCCCTCTCCCACCTTGAGAGTGTCCTTTTGCTTTAACGAACTGCTTTGAACTGCTTTGTGCTTGCTGCTTTCCTTCTGGCCGTCTTTACTGGAGTACAGATCCCCACATAAATCTACTGGGGAATCCAAGGACTGAGACTTCCATTCACACAACAGACTCTCTCTCACCCTTAACGCCACTACTGTTGAAATCCACACAATCCAGCTAATTTTATGTCAGGAAACACCAATGGCTCTGTCAGTGACATATCTCAGTTTGAGAGGATAGCACTACTTACACAAAACAGTCAATGGCCCTTCTAAGTCATACATTTGTCGCCTGGTATTAAGTACAGAATATATCAGATGTGCTTGACATTTGGAATTCTTTCTTCAAACATGTGAAATATAACAAAGATTTCTCTGTGAATTATAGTAAGCACATTTTACCAGGGGCATTGTTTGTTCTTTGTGTACTTCAGCTTTCTCCCAGGCCCTTTGGCTCCAACTATGTCCAATTATTCAGTATTAGTGACTCATTTCCAGTCCATTAGATGTAAGTAAGCACTCTCTGGTTATTTATAACCTTCTCACACCATATTACACCTTAAGAGACAAGTACAGTTTAATTTCATAATAAAATCCCGATGAAACCTGTCATTTTAAATACATCCAAAGTTTTTTTTTTAAGATTTTATTTTTGTCTCAGAGAGAGAGAAAGAGCACAAGCAGGGAGAGTGGCAGGCAGAGGGTGAAGCAGGCTCCCAACTGAGCAAGGAGCCCAATGCGGGGCTCCATCCCAGGACCCTGGGATCATGACCTGAGCCGAAGGCAGACATTTAACCAACTGAGCCACCAGGCGTCCCTAAATACACCCAAATTTATATATTGATTCACTTTTACTTATATTCTTATAACAACACTATCATGTGTTATAGTTGCTTACATATTCATAGTTGAAATAATTTTTTTGTTCACTAACAGACGCACTGCCTGTTTATTTTATTCTGAACACCCTACCCAAATGACTTACAAGTTCCTCCACAATCTTTGCAGGCCACCTGTCTTCTCCAACTTTCAAATGCCTCATTCCCCTATCCCAGTCTTCAACACTTCACTGAAACTCTTAGATTATCTGCACACGTGACTTGTACCGTCCCACCCTAACCACAGCATTCTCCTCATGAAATATCTAAAAGAGACATTCAAAGATCATCTAAGCCATCCTTCCTCTCCAGAGAAATCAAGTAAAAACTCTCCAGACAAATGGCGACTATTAAAGTCTCCATTTATCTATTTCTAATTTAATACTGAACGCTGAGGTAATAAATTGAACATTTTTAAAGTCTAACAAATGAAGAAGATATTCCTTAGTATCATGTTCTAACATCTAACTAAGCTCTGGAGCCAAAAGTGTATTTTCTTTCCTGTCGAAACTGGTCTTCCAAATACCATCATCTTTCATTTGAATTTTCATGAAAATGAAGTGTATTGGTTACTGTCCTAAAAGGATCGTCTTCTGCATGCCTGGGGGCCTATAATGAAGTAAACGTTCTCTTGAAGTAAAAACCATCTCAATCCCAAACGCTGTTTGATCTGCACAGACTTCATAAGCCAGCTACACAAAACAATTAGCTAAGGTAGGGAAGGGAAGGGAAAAGAAATCCTCATATAAAAACGAAAACATTCATACTTCCACATAGTTGTTTATCTGTCGATGAATTTGCCACTTAATAGTAAGTGTAAATTATAACTATGTAGGAATTTGGCAGGTTCTAGTCTCTGTTAAATGCTACTGACATCACTTTTGAAGTGTCCAAGAGAACATGCTACTATGGCTCTCTCCCTTTTTTTCATACCAGAGATTAGTAGTACTAAATATAAGTCACACTTGATTTTGTCTTCCCACCCAGTAAAGAACAGACGAAATCACAACAAAAACAAACAAAAATCAACTCAGTAAGAAAAAATCCTAGCTTTTTTTTTTTTTTTAAGATTTTATTTATTTATTTGGCAGAGAGTGTGAGTGAGAGCACACATCAGGAGGAGAGGCAGAGGGCAGAAGGAGACGGAGAAGCAGGCTCCCCACTGAGCAGGGAGCCCGAGGAGGGTCTCCATCCCAGGACCCTGGGATCATGATGTGAGCCCAAGGCAGATGCTTAACCAACTGAGCCACCCAAGCGCCCCCTAACTTGTAAATTAAAGGGAAAAAAATGGCAATAGGTAACCAGTACAAACTTTTTCTCCCGAATTTAAATATTTTTTGTGTTAAATTGGGTCAACTATAGACAGAAGAGCTCATTTACTACGTAGATAGTTAATTTTCACAAGAAAAAATCCACAGTATTATTTACTCTACATTCTCTATTATTCTGAATGCCTGGGGAATTTTTTACTGACTATATAATAGGACA